CATTAATCACCTCTGGGAGTTAAAGGGTTAACTTGTAATTGGGCTTGATTAAGATAAATTTGGTCATGTACCCTGTGAGGAATGTTTGTACAAATTATACATTGAAAACTGTGCAAAATGAGTCTCCAAAAAAACTGGTCTCTGAATGTAATGTCTGTAACATGGAATTGCCCTCATGATTCTCGGAATCATGATGGCACATTTCATTTCAGAGAAACAGGTGTCAAAGCGACTTTTAAGACTTCATTATGTCCTTACAATCACAGAAAAATTGTGCAGGTGGATTTTACTGATGAAAATAGAATCTTATATATGATTAATGATAGAACTGAAATGTTTATTGAGTAAGGTTTAGAAAAAGATGAATACATGTATGTAATGAAAGGTTTCAAAATTGAATGCTGGTCCAGCTTGTAACACAAGCATGAATGGGTGATTTTTTCTAACAAAAGCATAAACAATAAATTTGTATTAAGCTGTTGTTTCTTAGCTCTGCCTGAACAGTTAATGAGCTAGAGTGATATTCCCTGAGGAGGAAAGCCTGCGTAATCTATGACCAATCAAAGCTCTCCAGAGTACAGTTCGCTGCTAATATTACAGATCTATATATTTTTCACTACTGTTAGTAAATGTCATGAGAACAATGGGCATTTTGCATGATGTGTTGGTGTGTTGAGTGTGTGTTATCACCTTTGTCCCTGAAATCACATGGAGAGTCACATTTGGTCAGCCTTTGTGAATCATGGTGGTTTTTTTGTTGTTGTTGTTGTTTTTTTTTTTTAATTCCAGTTGAATTGTGATAATTATAAATGAATAAAGGGGGTAAGTTTGTAAAGAAACTGGTGCTGCCTTCGTGGGAGAGTAAACCAGGATAATTTAGTATTATCAACTGAGTTGATAAGGTTTAAAAAGATGACATATGACATTTTGAGTGTTAGCCCATTGTCAGAGCAACAAATTGTCAGCTTTTAAACTCGTCACAGTTGCAAATTTACATTATCAATTAACTGACAGCTGATAATATGAAATTACTTGGATATAATTATAAAATGATGCAGTTAATACCACTTATAACTTTAGGCACCTGTTCGTGCCTTTATTTATGACTGTCTTTGTCTTTCATAACTGATATATAGTAACTGTTGTTCTGCTGCTTCCCTTTTCAGACTTTCTGACTTTATCCCTGATTGAAGGGTTATTTTCTTGAACCCAGGAAACTCTGTACAAGGTAGGAGGACTTGCTGCTCTTTTTTTCTCTCACTTTTGAAACTTGCCTTCATTTTGTCAATCTGTATTAACCCTTTAATTGCCATGAGTGACCAGGACAGAATTTCTCCTTACAATGTCAACAGAATATCAACCAGATAAGTGATAAGAGTAAAGAAAAATATAAATTTGGGGATAATTAGTTGATCCAATACTAAATTCTCTGAACTAACATTATAAGAATTGTATGGTTGGGAGTAAGGAGAATTACAAATTTTATGTGAGAGTTAAAGGGTTAATAATTTATTTGCTGGGAATAATTGTGTCCTGTTTGCATATGTTTAGAATTCTAAGCTATTTTTTCTTAGCTCTCCTTGAACAGTTAATGAGCTAGAGTGAAGTTCCCTGAGGGGAGAAGCCTAGTATGTAATCTATGAATTATCAAAGCTCTCCAGATTACAGTTCACTGCTAATATTATAAATAAAGAGGGTAAGTTTCTAAAGAAACTGTGGTGCTGCCTCAGTGGGAGAGTATGCCAGGATAATTTAGTATTATCAATTGAGTTGATAAGGTTTAAAAAGATGACATTTTGAGTGTTAGCCTTTTCATCAGAGCAATTGGGCTGACAAAGGAATTGTCAGCTTTTAAACTCATCACAGTGGTGAATTTACATTATCAACTCAGCTGATAATATGAAATTAATTTGATATTATTTAATGTTGTGGTTAATACCACTGATAACCTTGGGGCACCTGTTAGTGCCCTTCTTTGTGACTGTCATTGTCTTTCATAACTGATATATAGTAACTGTTGTTCTGCTGCTTTTCTTTTCAGACTTTCTGACTTTATCCCTGATTCAAGGGTTATTTTCTCGAACCCAGGAAACTCTATACAAGGTAGGAGGACATGCTGCTCTTTTTTTCTCTCATTTTTGAAACTTGCCTTCATTTTGTCAATCTGTATTAACCCTTTAATTGCCATGAGTGACCAAGACAGAATTTCTCCTTACAATATCAACACAATATCAACCAGATAAGTGATGAGAGTAAAGAAAATATAAATTTGGGGATAATAAGTTGATCCAATACTGAATTCTCTGAACTAACATTATAAGAATTGTAGGATTGGGAGTAAGGAGAATTACAAATTTGATATGGGAGTTAAAGGGTTAATAATTTATTTGCTGGGAATAATTGTGTCCTGTTTGCATATGTTTAGAATTCTGCATGCTCTCATTTCACTTATATCCATGTGAGTATTAATTATTTTGCCTGGTAATGTTATGTCAAGAACTATACATTATATTAATGACCTATTTAATTATGTTGTGATCAATGGTTGTGCATGATTATGTTTGGCTACAAACATGTGGAAATACTCTTAGAAAATGTTGCTGAAATTCTGGTGGTCCTTCTGATATACTGCTGGTTTAATTACTGATTACATGCAGCTAGGTTTGTGAAGTGTTTCAACTGTATGTTGACTTATGAATATTAACATTTGAGAGACTCAATTTTGGGTCATTGATTAAAACTTATTAATTCATATAAAATCAAAGTTTAAGCTCCCCTCCTAAAACAGGAATATGGAAGATCTTGTGCAGAGATCTGGTTCCATCCTTGGCAAAGTACATATGGATTAGCAATTATCACCCCATGCTTGCATGTCTTGCATGGGAAATTAGTACATTCATGCAAAGTGTCTATCATTAAGGTTTTGCCAAGTTAAACCTAACTTAAGTCCTTTAAGGTACCCTTCGGCAATTAGTGGATACCATGGTGATTTTGCATAAATTATTTTTTTTGTGTGGAGAGGTTTAACTTTTAATAATTTTTGTAGCATGGACGTCAAAGCACAAAATCTAACCCAAGCTGGATGAATAACGAAGATCATGTAAACAATCCAACATGTTCAAGATATTCATAAATTACCATTACATATAGAGCCATTGACGGCCAAAACATTTGTGTAAAAGTATATTTCATCGGATGGTAAGAGCAATTTTTACGAGATGGTAAAAATAACCAAAACCATCATGACCTATTCATATTGACCTATGTGTAAATAGTGAAATTTAAAATATTTCATATCTAGCCCACTTATGAATTTTTGGAATAAGGAGACCCTAAATTGTTTAAAAAACAGTAATTTGAAAGTTGACTTTGCAGGAAATGGCCAAGAGAGGCTGTTTATTTTTGTCCAATGAGAAGTGTATGGAAATTGCTCTTTTTTTGTTTTCTCTGAAATTGAAAACCAGTTTTTTTTGGTCTGCTTGGCTCCTTTTTTACAAATTCTAGGGGCCTAAACTTGAGTGTTGTAAATTACCAAAATCCTCGAAAAGCACTAGAAAAAATAAAGCCCACTTTATGTTATGGACATTATGTTACAGACATTATATTACAGACATCACATTATAGACATTATATTATGGACATTATGACTGCATAACTTTCATTATGGTAATTCTTTTGGGAGAAATAAATGCTACATGCATACCAATTTTGTTCAAATTTATCACATCCAAGTTTTCAGTGTTTTTGACTAAACACTAATAACCATAACCGTAACAACAACTGTACATTAGCAGTAGCAACACCAAGCTGACATGAGGAGTATAAATTTTCAAAAAGTTTGAGTCCAAGTGTGAATTAAGTTTACTGAAAGACATGTCATATTTAGAGTCAGTACCTTCTTTTATAATATCTGAAGATAACAAATTAAAATATAGCATGCAATGTTTCAGAAATGTAGCTTAAAACAAGCAATACTACAACTTTCAGAGGCCATTGCACTGATAATATTATCGAGAAAGTTGTCAATTCAAACAGTTCTTTGCAGTTTAACTGCATGATTCAGTGTAGTGTAACTGCGTGATTCCCATATTGACGAAAATTTTCTTAACACAGTGTTGTTTGCTTATGGTTATGTAGTTTGCTTGTGATTGTGTAGTTTTTGTTCTTGTTGGGATGGTGATAGATGATGCTTTTGCAATTATGTTTCAAGTGACCAAGTTGTAGCAGTGATCTTTGCAGGGTGGTAAATGGAGGTTGTGCAGTCTTGCTTTGATTTTTAACTGTAGTTTACATATTTGTGTCTGCTTGTGCATCGTTTTGGAGCTATGGAGGTTTTAAGGTTTAGGTATAATGGTTACGCCGGCAATGGTCAGATCTTTGTGATGCTGCATGAAGTAGTAAAAACGGGTGCGGCTTTTGTATTAATGCTGGTACAACTGTGATTACTTTTATTATTAGATACTTCTTAGGCGAAATGGGGAATTTTGTTAGATATAATAAATCCTAAATTTTAAGATTAAGTTTCTCTTTTTAGATTAGTTTTTTATTCTAGCAGTATAGTATATATCATTTAATTATTTTAGTGATGTGTAGGTCCACATCAACCTTCTTGGCTGCCAATTTGTTACCTGCATTATCAAATAAAATGATGATGATGATGATGATGATGATTAAGAATCAAACGTCAACCAGCCAGAACTGACCGGGTTTAAGGCCCTAGAGAGGAAAAAAAAAAATTTCCCCTTAACCTTTCAAATCGCGTTTCATTTCTGCTGTTTATGTCTGTGGTTGTTACTTTGTAAATTGAAAAACAAAACTCTTTCTTAATCTAGAAACTGGGTTGAAATGAAAAATTTCAGATTAAATCTCTTATTAGGTTCTTTCGTTGGTGTTCCTTGCTTAAAAGGATTTAGAAAATGACATCACGATTTGAAACCATTCTCGGTCTCAATTGGCTATCGGGAGTTTTTTTTTCGAATGGGTTTGATTAACATTACTTAATGTCAATTCTCTTTTTGACAGGTCATCCTGGAAAAGTTAGTGTTATGGCTACGGCTATTTCGCCATTTGCGTCTACGAAAGAGACTACCAACTATGCAAGGCTATGCCGCCTCCTGGTGGATGTTGGATCTCAGGTGCTTAGGTCCACTTTTGACACAATACATCCACCAGCGACTCTATATACAGTTTTGGGAAGTACCTCAGTGCATTACGCCACATTGCAATCACTGTACAAAGGGAGGAAGAAAGTGCTGAATCCCACGCAGTGGGGAAAGTTGTACCCTACTCACGCACCCGTGTCTTCTGCAGCCTTCGATATCACACTTCTAACGGTGCTTCTTAGAAATATCTGTGGTTTGGGCCCTCCTGCCAATGGATGGGATCGTCTTCCCCTAGCTACAAACATAAGCATCGCAGATGACATCGCCAGAGTGAAGTATTACAGGAACACTGTATACGGTCATGGTTCTCAAGCCTCTGTGGATGACAGCAGTTTCAGTGCTTACTGGCAGGAAGTAAGAGAAGCTTTGGTGAGACTCGGAGGAGCTCATTTTAGAGCTGAAATCGACAACCTTGAGCACGACTGCATGGATCCAGATATCGAGGAGCACTATCGTCAACTGATGAAACAATGGAAGAAAGACGACGACAGCATCAAAGACAAGCTTGAAGAAATTGAAAGTAAGTAAAACATTATCCACTGCCAATGTGGATGAATCAGAAGGCTACAAAAGTATATATTTCGGTAATTGTGAAGAAGAGCTCCCCAAAAAACCTGTCGGCCGACTGTCGGTCAACTGTCGGCCGACAGTCGGCCGACAGTTGGTCGTCTGTCGGCCGACAGTCGGCCGCCTGTCGGCCGTTTGTCGGCCGACAGTTGGCCGACAGACGGCCGACAGGTTTTGCCCGAAATATAGGCTACCTGTCGGCCGACAGTGGACCGACAGTCGGCCGACTGTTGGTGATGTGTCGGTAACCTGTCGGTAGCTTGTTGGAAGCTTGTCCGTGAAAAGTTAACACAAACCTTAATGTTTTCTCTCGGTTTTCGCTTGATACAACATCCAACATGTGTAATACGTTGACAATCGACTTTCAAGATTTGGTGGCTCCTAAAGGAGCCGTTTTGTGAGTAGAATCGTGATTTTAGCGGCGCGCGCCTAAATCAATTATCGCATCACGCATCCAAGTCTAATTATCGAATTGTTGCGTATAGTAATTTATTACTTAACATAATGAGTAAAAAGATTCACAGTTGTATCATTTATTAAACTTGAAATTGGAAATAGCAATTCATCCCAAACCTGCAAGATAGAGGACGATGTTAGCAACACAAATGCACAAGGTAAACATCATTGATACATACATAACATACCATAAGAGGCAGCGTTGCATTGTTGGGCGATTTGAACAAAAGTGTTTGTATTGATACGTAGCTTATGGTTATCAGAGTTTTTGGCCGAGTTTTCGATTAAATTATCTTCCAATGCGATTCTTAGATTGTCTGGTGTGTTGTAAATTACGCAAGTGATATATCTTATACGCATCTGATAACAACATTTTGGAAGAAACGTTTCTTTACATACTTTCAACTTTGCCGTCGATCGGTAAGTAGGTGAAGTCTGTCGAGTCATACATCACCATTACGGATGGTTATGTCACGTTAACTGTTCGTTTTTAACACAATTTTTCTTTTTTCTTAACCTGTCGGTAACCTGTTGGTTAGCTGTCGGTAGACTGTCGGTAACCTGTCGGCCGACAGTTGACCGACAGTCGGCCGACAGGTTTTTTGGGGAGCTCTTCTTCACAATTACCTATATTTCCCATTAACACGGTAGTGTAGGTCAGCTCATGATGTTTTCATCATTGTCGGAACTAGTCTCATATTTGGAAGGTATATTTGCGTTGTGTGTAAAATGAAGAATTAACCCAAATGTTGACACTATGTTTTAATTTGCAGTATTTTTGTCTGTTCGTGGGTACTTGTGTACAACAGCTAGAGTGCATTTGTTGATTTCTAAGCGTCTTATTTCGTTTGATCTATTCGGAATCGACTAGATATTGATATACATATCATTGTTTTATCTGCACCTAACGTGAAGCTGCGATATAAATTTGCTTATGAAAATGCGCATACCTTTTGAAATTTTCAGATTCAGACTACTCACAGCAAAAAAAATTATTAAGAGCGACGCTGTTTTCTTGGGTACATAGCGCAGCTCATATGCATTACGACGGTAAGCGCTGGATGTCGGCCAACACAGCATACTTTACTAGTCTAAGAGCACACCTTGACTGGGATGCCACGGAATCTGAGATTTTCTGCCCTGGCTACCTCTCGGATTTGATGGTGTTTTGACAGCCCTCATACATGTGTATCATCGTAGTCGGGATAGTTTATCGTCTTATTTTAGTATTACCTTTCTTATAATGAACCTAACTTCCTAGTAGCGTTAGATGTGACCCGCATATTTCGGAATGAAATAACCAAATCCTTCCTCCTGGCGTATTAGAGTATTCAATTCTACATGGGAAAATAGTTAAATGGGGATCGTTTTGAGTAAAATAGGTTAGAATAAGATGTTTGTGGTTATTTTACATTTCCTGAGGAAAAGACTGTCGGCAAAACCTCCCACTTCATTGAAGGCGGGTCTCTAGATTTCTCCAGCTTTGAATCACCGCCGTGTCGGGTTACTCAGGATGTTTTCATTGAGGACGGAACTAGTCACATACTTGAAACGTTATTCTAGCGTTATGTGTGAAAAATGAAGAATTAACCCAAATGTTCACACTTTGTTTTCATCGGCAGTATTTTTCTGTTCGTGGTTGCTCGCGTATAATTGCTGGAGTGCATTTTTGTAATTTCTAAGCGTCCTATTGAGTTTGATCTATTCGGAATCGACTAGATATTGATATACGTTTCATTGTTTTGTCTACACTTAAACGTGAATCTGTGGTGTAAATGTGCTTATGAAATTGCGCTTATCTTTCTTACATTTCCAGATTCGCTAGAAAAGATGAGGCACGACCTCAGAGACACAACTGAGAAGATAGAGATTAAAATGAAGGAGGTTTTAGAGACGCTTAGTAGCCAGGCGACCACAGTGGAAAAAAGCACAGATGAAGGTTGGTTACTAGAAAGAGCTACTCACAGATAAACTGACCTACCAACAGGGATTTATTAAAACATCTTTTGAGCATGACCACATTATTCGCGTGATGTCGGCCAATTTAACATTTTATTAGGTAATGTATTGTTGTAAGAGCACACCCTGGCTTCCAACCTGCCCTGGCTACAAATGAAGATACTTGGTTATGTGTGGGATGAATGGGATGGCACGGATGTGAGGCTACCTCACGGTGTTGGATAGTTTTCTGACAACACTCATACATATTTAGCTTAGAAGGCTATTGTCTTATACTAGTTTTACTTTTGTTGAGGACATAGGGAGAAATGAGAGGGCGGAAAGGCGTTCTTTGGTTTTTATTAATTAGTTCTTACAATTTCGCTTTTACCGACAAAAATATTTCTTAGACTATCGGCTCCAATGAAATCAATATTTATCTCCTGAGTTTCACTATTAGAAACTGCTGAAGCCGGGCCATAAGGTTTTTTAGAATGTTGTATAGAATAAAAAAAGTACACAGAGGAAGGGAAAAGGATCTATTCAGTTAACTTTTAATGAATAAAGTGACTCCCACTCGGACTAAAAGTTCCAATGTTATTCCACAAAGGGTCTCTTGAGAAAATGAGAAGCGAAATGGCAAAGATAGACAGTGAACTTAAAGAAGTGAAGGGAAAGCTGTGTACTTTGGCAGCCCCTGTGGGAGAAAGCAAGGATGAAGGTCAGTTGAATTATACAATAAAAGTTATCCTGCTTAACCGTTAATTTAGTCGTAGTAAACATGTTCTGTATGTTAGAGAGATCATCCTATCTTAAAGAGATTCAGTTTTTCAATTTAAACAATCTCTGGAATAGCCTCTCTGGTGTGCTTTCCTTCCCTTCAATTATTTAAACTTTCACCCTTAAATAGCCCGGAAACATTATATTTTTATAAGAATGGAGAACGATATAAAAATGAAGTACAGTTTTAACGAAAATATTGGCATTAAGTTCGGCTCCATGTTAGAAATTAACAGAGTAGGTTCGACGGCATTTATAAGCTAAATGGCCTTTGGTGATTAACATGAATCATACATTGATACCTTTTTTCATTGTCCAATTAAGTTCTTTAGCGATGGTGTCGTACACGTTCACTTATTTAAATTCAGTGCCGAATACCTAATAGCATTGAATGTGATCTGCATATTTCTGAATAAAATAAGTAAACCCTTCCTTCGCTCATATTGTGGAGTATTCAATTCTACATGGGAAAATAGCTGAATGAGGATCGTCTTGAGTAAAATGGGTTAGAATAAGATGTTTGTGGTTATTTTACATTTCCTGAGGAAAAGACTGTTGGCAAAACCTCCTACTTCATCGCAGGCGAGCCTCCAGTTTTCTGCAGCATTTTTAATGAAACCGCGTGACAAAGAAGGCAGAAAGACGTTGTTTGGTTTTCATTTATTAGTTCGTAGTCTCGCTATATCCCGAAAAAGCCTTGCTCAGACTACGGCTCCAATGATATGAATATCTATCTCCCGAGTAATTTATTTTACGACAGAGTTTCACTGTTAGACACCGCTAAAGTCGAACAAACAGAATACGTTCAACTGAATTCATAATCTAAATGGCTTTTAATCAGTAGGCATGAATCATACACTAAAACCTTTTTGCATCGTCCAAGTAATTTCTTTGGCAACGGTATCGTACTCATTCGCATATTTAAATTCAGTGCCGAATGACAGGGACGTACCACAATTTTCAACGCGGCATTCATTAGATTTATTACCTATTTTGCTACTGCTAGGTGTTTTTGATCCAACTGAGCTTATCAATGGAATTCGCCAGCTGTACAAGACTCGCGAGGGATGGCTCTCACCATTTCCATGGTGTGAAGAGTTTCAGTTTTTTCTTGGCAATATTTTTACAAGGCTCAAAGTGGTCAGAAGAAAGAAAACGAGAGGAGAAATCACTGACGTATTTGTTGACATGTCGTCAATACTAGACCCGTATGAAGAGTGTTCAGCGCCGAGAACGGTGTTGATTGAAGGAGAACCTGGTATGGGAAAAACCACCTATTGTAAAAAGTACACCTACGACTGGGCTACAAAACAGCAAGAACTTCAGGGCTGCGGCTCAACAGCATTAAAATTGGTATTGTTGCTGAAATGTCGAGATATTCACTCTGACGTTTGGGAAGCCATTGATGATCAGCTGCTGCCCCTAGGCATCGATGAAAAAGTCAAACAACAATTTTTTCAGTTTATTCGTGAAAATCAGTCCAGCATTTTATTGATATTGGATGGATTGGATGAGTTACCATCCGGGAAATTGTCGATGTTTTCCAAATTAATTGAAGGAAGAGAACTCCCTAGATGCCACATAGTTGCAACAGCAAGACAAGAAGCTGGAAAAGAGGTGAGAAAATGTTGTGACGCGCTGCTTCAGATCGAAGGATTCACTGAGAAGCATGTGATAGAATTTGTCACCAAGTACTTTAAAGAAAGGACGGATTTAGCCACCAAGCTCTCGCAACGGATGTCGCGAGATAAAAACCTGAGAGAAATAGCGGCCAATCCTCTAAACACAGCACTTCTTTGCCTTTTATGCGAAGAGTTTGAGGGCACACTCCCAGAAAGCAGAGCTCAACTGTACTTGGACATGGTTGAATGTGTTTTGAGAAGATATAGAGAAAAGAAGGGACTATTAGAAAAGATCGAAGACCTGACAAACCATTACAAACCGCAATTGAATCACCTTGGAAAGGTAGCGTTGAATGCTTTACTTGACGATAAGCTGCATTTAAATGAAAGTGAATTGAGAAACCATGCAAAAGACCTGACTGAATTTGGGTTTCTGTCAGTGCAGCCTGGTGGCAGCAAACTGAGACAAACACTGCATTATGCCTTCTTACATAAAAGTTTTCAAGAATTCTTTGCAGCATTCTTCATTTGTTCTCAGATTCAAAGCAAGGAAATGAAACCTGAAGAACTAGTTTCCGATCCAAGGTATTTCGTTGAACTTGAACAAATACTTTTGTTTTCGTGTGGAATTTTGGCCATGAAATGCGATGAACAGGTTGTGGCTCTTGTAAAGAGTTTAACAAATGAAGTCAACAAAAATGAAGGCGGTGGTGCAAAAATTGTATTGAAGGCCATCAACGAATGCAAAAGGGAAAAAAACGATTCTCACTCGCATTTATCGAAGTCGTTTGGTACTGGTTTGAATCTGACCAATTTGGATTTGCGAAGGAATGGTATTAGTGATGCGGGTGCTACATGTATTGCTGAGGCAATCAAAGTGAACAAGACGCTAACCAATTTATATTTGCGAAACAATAGTATTAGTGCTGCGGGTGCTACATGTATTGCTGAGGCAATCAAAGTGAACAAGACGCTAATCAATTTGGATTTGCGAAAGAATGGTATTAGTGATGCGGGTGCTGCATGTATTGCTGAGGCAATCAAAGTGAACAAGACGCTAACCAATTTGGATTTGTCTTGGAATGATATTAGTGCTGCGGGTGCTAGATGTATTGCTGAGGCAATCAAAGTGAACAAGACGCTAACCAATTTGGATTTGTCTTACAATGGTATGATAGTAAGCAGGTACCTTTGAAAATTGAGGGCCGAAGGCCCGATCCTCTAGGGGGGTCCGGGGGCATGCTCCCCCGGGAAATTTTTAAAAGAAAAGTCTCCCAGAAACGCATTTTCCTGCAATCTGGAAAAGAAATCTTCTTGCAATGATGGATACTTAATCTATTGTAATAAAAAAGAATGGTACTCTGGGAGAATTTGTTTATTTCACTGTTGTTTTCGGAGCCTCTTTTTATCCTACAGTTACAAGTTAAAGGCCCATTTCCAACCTTGATGCAACTCGCGCTGCGACCCAATTTCCTGTGACACGAAATTCCCAGATCACTGAAACCCTTCTAAAATCGTCTTTCTCAAGAGCCATCCTGAACATATAGTCAACAGTTTTACGGTAAATACATTCGCCGTTCGTTATTTCACTGTTTCCTTACAGTATTTTGAATTTTGTCTTGAAGAATCCTAAGAAAAAATTTTTAAGTGTCACGCCTGGAGCTCTTCGTACTCTGTGAAGAGTCGGCGAAAAGGACAATATTCAAATTTTTTTCAAATGAAGACAAAATACTTCCGATAGAAACTGGTATTTTTCAAAGAGAAATATGGAAAAATATCAGACTGCCGGACGTTTAGTTATTTGAAGACCGTGTCCGGTAGTGTCTGGTGAAAATTTTCTTAGTGTCACGCTTGGATCTCTTCGTACTCTGTGTACAAGGTCAGCGAAACGGAGAAAGTTGGCATTTTTTCACTTTTTAGAAGCGCTTGAGGATTGTAAATGAAGGTAGAATATTTTCTAGTGAAAAATTAGTATATTTCAAAGAGAAATATGGAGTTGTTTGAGGACCGTGTCCAGCCGTGTCATTGAAATTTTAAGCGCTTGGATGGCTTCGTACTCTGTAAACAGGGTTAGCGAGAAACATCCAGTTTGAAATTTTAGGCTGCCTGGAGGCGCTTTAGGATTGTACATAAAGGTAAAACATTTTCATATAAATACTTTTTGGATTTCGAAGAGAAATATGGAAAAATATCGCACTGCCGGACGTTTAATTATTTTAAGTGTAGTCACTTCATTGCAGGAACTCGAACGTCAGCGACACTGACAGTTTGCGTTACAATTCTTATTTGCTGCTTTGCATGGACAACAACCCCGACCACTCTTTCGAGCGCAAGTTCCTCTCCACGGGCAGGAAACTTCAACTGACCCTTGGTCCTATTTAACATGGATGGCAAACTTCAATGAAAAAAAATTGATGAATGAATGAAAACGTGGTGGATCAACATTTTCACCTTCTTCGAAATGCTCGCAAGGATTTTCGCGTTTCTCTTTAGCAACAACCGATCCATAAGCGTTTACTGCCTCGGAATCTACTAAATCAATAGATTCATCCAATTCCATACCGGATTAAAACGTATAGAACTGTTTTAAACAATTATTTTGATAAGCTCTTCAAATTCATCGGAGAAAAGGCAGAAGGTATTTTGAGACCTGACAAGGTAAAAATAACTGACCAATCAGAGGCGCTATTTAAACAAAAGCGGTGATTCAAAACGAAAACAAACGAACGCGTTGGCTCAAGGTTGCAAATGGGCCTTTAACTTCAGCTTATAAAGTGATAAAGTGTGAAACTGACATTTTTTGTAGTTTATGAAAACTCAAAGTCCGAGCCACAATCAGAATCTTCGGCATACAAATCTGGCAGCTCCAAGGCTTTGGAGATTTCCTCTACCTCTTCCTCAACAGAATAGAGTAACTGGGCGTCATCATCAGTTGCCTGTACACCAACATCATGTACAATTACCACTGGAACATCCTCATTTGCAGATCCTGGACCTGGTGGTGGTGCTGTGTTGAAAACCTTTGGAGGGCGCTTGCGACGAGGTTTAGCTGCCAACCAGGACGAAACAGCCGAATTAAGAACAACTCTCTGTAAGAATAAAACATCTTGGGGAATGAAAATTTTCAACCCCCCTTCAAATTTTGCATGCAGTTAGGCGCTCAGGGTGGATGCACAAAAATGCCCTTTATAAAGGTCGCAGCACTCTTGTTGCCATGGTAACAAAAGCTGCTTGTTCGAGGCCTAGGGCCTCGTTTTCACACAAAAACGTCGCAAAAAAAATTGAAATTTTTATTTCTCTATCTCGAGCTAAATAAAACATTACAAATTGGCACTTCTATCATACATAGTAACATTATTCGTCTCTACATTGATTCATTCAATTTTCCCTGGGAGTGAATGTGAACACAGCAATAGATTATTCATCTCGGTACAGTTTCGGTCATTTTTGTTGTCGGGTAAAACAGGGAAAACGTTTATCTGAATTTCTTCAAAGGTGCACCGATTCTGCAACTGAAACTACCCACCTAGCTGGTTATAATATTCTAGTTATTAAATATGTAAAAATCTCTGCGGACCTGCCTCTCCTTTTTATGGGGGAAATTCGCAAACGAAGCTCAAAATCAGATATTGCATAATTTGGCGATGTTTCTAATGTTCTCAACAATAAATGTTTCAGAAAAATGAAACATTCAAGGCTTTGAAAGAATGTTATCTTATGAGCAATATCCCGAAGAGAAATCTCACCTCTAGTAGTCATCTTTAAAAAAAATTGATCAACCTTCATGGAGGACTACTCGACGTAACAACAAACATATACCTCAAATCGTGTGCATATCATCCAGATTCCGAATGCTGCACCTTCTTGTATGGGAATTTGAGCGATCTGAAGTCCTCTGAAGATACACTGTTATACTTGTATGTCATTTAAGGCATGTTGAAGTCGGCTGATCTACACGCAACTATCTTCACACCCGTCATTTGTCATTAACATGTACGTTGTCACGATGGCGTGAATCCGTATTTCTCCATGAAGTTTCCATCGGTCGCCCCATAGAAGACGAGAAATGGACATTTTTCGAAATATCATCAGATTTCCGCGCACTCTAGGTGAAAACAACCAAAAAGAAGAAGAAAACCTCGATTGAACGCTCGTAAACACTGAGAGGGCAGACATCGCAACTTGTCAGCGGCAGTACTACATGTAAAACCCAGTCGCCACAATAGCAATTTGTACGACTCGCGCGAAAATCATCACCAAGTGGAGATTTTGAACTACTCAGTATCCCTGCAGTACAGCAAACGGAACAGGAATTTCATCACAATCAATTTCCAAAAATTTAGCTTTTTTCGGGGAGTCTTTCACTTGCTCGAACGTTATATTGGCTTTGAGCCTTGAGATTTATTTCCCTTGACAATAAAATGCTATAGAAAGTACTTACAAAATTACAAAGGAACTATTTTTAGTGTCGGTTGGACCGAGAAATACAGATTTGAAATAATTAATACTGTCACTGATCAACCAAAGGGCACAATCTTCTCAGTTATTAGCTTGATAATCTCTACAGACCAACGTTATTGGACCGAACGATCTCCTGTTTCTTCCTGGTGAGCCGGCCACCTCAGGGGAAAATTAAAGAGACCTTTGACTCTTCTTTTTCCTGAAGGACATGAAGCAATCCAGATTACATATTAACCATGGGAAAATTCTTTCAAGTGACAAGTTGCGATTTGCGTGTGGATAATAAGTTGTTTGAAAGGTGGAATTATGACATTATGATTCCATTAAATCTTTTATTTCGAACTTTGTTATGGAAGGAAATATCGATTGACTCGATTGCACTGCGGCGGTGGTAAGTCTCTCCTCATCATATCTTATGCAAATTTTCTAACAGTTTTCCGACAGTTTTCAGATGATTCGAAATATCTTAGTTCCTGTCACAAGGAAGTGATAACTGCCCGAATCTGCTCTTTGAAAGGAGATGCCTATGTCGTTCAAATTGCGATTGCAACTGGGTTTTACATGTGGTACTGCCGCTGACAGTTACGATTTATACTTTCAGATTCTCAGTGTTTATTAGCGTTCATTCGAAGTTTTCCTATTTTTTTCTTTTTTTTTCCTTTTTTTTTTTTGGTTGTTTTGTTTTTACTTCAGAAAGCGGAAATCTGCTATAATTTATGAAAAATATCCATTTCTCGTCTTCTTCGGAGCGACCGATAGAAACTTCACGGAGAAATACAGCATCGTGATAACGTACATTTTATGACAAATGACCGGTGTGAGGATAGTTTCGTGTAGATCCGTCGACTTCAACATGTTTTAAATGACATACAAGTATAACAGTGTACCTTCAGAGGACTTCGAATTGCTAAAACTTCCATGAAAGAAGGTGCAGCATTCTGGACTAGTGCAGCACTATCTGCATGATATGTACACGATTTGGGGTATATGTTTGTAGCTACGTCGAGTTGTCCGCCATGAAGCTTGATCAATTTTTTTTTTTTTTTGATGACAACCAGAGACAAGATTTCTCTTCGGGATATTGCTCTTAAGATAACATTCTTTCAAAGCCTCGCACGTTTCATTTCTCTGAAACGTTTGTTGTTGAGAACATTTAGATGTAAACATCGCCAAATTATGCAATATCTGATTTTGAGTTTTTCCTCTTGTTTACTGAATAATCTTCTCAATTACGACATTACATCTCTTTTGAGCATCACCTTCTTAGAGTTGAAATGCATTTTGAACGGAATTATCAGAATTTATGGCGAAACCATGTAGAAACCAAGCGACCCAACGATGGAGTTGTTTACGATGAGTTCCTATTTATCCGTGAAAGAATGAAATTAACTCAAACTAGTCATAAACGAAACGGTTTGACTTAGGAATAAGACTTCGTTTAATTCAATTTTTTTTTTAACGAATGAAGTCGTTCAAGACTGAATCAAATTAATAGATTTAGAAAGCCGTGCCAAAATCGAGTTGGTTGTCTTTTCTTTTCGAAGCGAGAGCATGACTTTCTTATCTTAGTTTTCACAAATTTCAAACATAAAAAAGTGCATACCTGAGCTGTTCTCAATTTTTTTCATCTCTGATTTCAATTCGCAGAAAAGTTTTCAATCACGGTAAAAACGACAATAACACTGAATAATACAGTAGGTAAGCGTAGTGATATTTCATTTTGATAAACTTCAA